CGCTTACAGGGCTTTTCACCAGCGTACCGAGGTATCTACCTTTAGGCCAGTTCCAAATTATGCAACGCACCGTAATAGCCAAATGACTCCAGCCATATCTGTATTTAACATCTGTGAATTCCAATACATTTGCAAAGAAGCAAATGTGCAGACTCGAGCTTTTCCTCCCCTTCTTTCTGCTTTTGAGTTTTCGTTAAGTTTTTAGGATAGGTACATTTGCATTTGTGTGTATTTTTTCATTGAATTTAACTACGAAACATGGACACTGGCTTTAATGATGTTGAAAGTAAATGGGCTGGAAACGCAAAAGCTTTGCCGCCGTAGTCCTAGGCAAAACGCGGAGTTATGATGTAACAACACTGGCTCATTTTGTGGTCAGCAAAGTGCTAAGTTGCGGTGATGTGGCAGGACCTCTGCCGCTGTTGTCACAGTCCAATTAGCGGATTGCAGGTGACAAGTTGAGCTGTGAGTGCGAGTTTGTGCAGCAAAGTGGAACAGCACATTGCGTGGCGTGCATCTCAGCTCCGCGAGGATGCGTCTTCTGCGTAATCGGATAGATGATGCATATTCAAATTGACTGAGACGAAATGACGAAATGTGCCGTCAGCCCGCTTCTGTCTCCTTTCTGTCCTCCTTATTTCACCCAAGAACGCTTGATCGAACAATAGTACATTCAGTGTGGGGCAGATATGACTGCATTGGAAACTGCTGTGTGGCGCAAAATTTGCATAGTATTTATTTTTAAAAAATGTAACCTTGTCATCTAATCTTTTGTACAGTCTTTACTTCTGGAAAGTTGTTTCCTCATTCGTTTGCGATGCCGATAACTTTTTCTCTAAAGGGTCCAATTTGGAAATAACGGAAATGCGGGTGAGTTACTTACTCGAGCCATCTACAACACCAAGCCAGAATTCACTTAAGACGTTTCCTAATGGTAGCACAACGAATGCAGAAATGTAGTTACAAATTAGGCGACACTTTTGAAAAATGTCAAAAGCATGCGTCATAGAGAGGTAGGATGATGACTTTAAGAGAGCGAAAATGACACTCTATCTGCTAAAGGTTTGGCTATCGCCTTCAGGGATATAGAGTAACAGGTGGTTCGGTATTTTATATTTGCCATGTATAAACCCACTTAGGTATGAAGCGAAACAATTTTGTCACAATCCGTGTGCCGGACTGGGGGCGCTTTTTCCAAAGAAGAGTCCTAATTAAGAAGGAGAGCATTTCTTAGCAACCCAAACATCAAAATATACATAACTGACCAACCGTAGTTGAAAAGATAGGAACGATGGTAGGCATTGCTTGTACATTAGTATGTGTCACTGGTGTAAGGGTTTACAAACTTATTTTTGTAATGATTCCGCTATTATGCAGGAAAATAGCGAAGTGATTTCACGACAAGCAGTTAAATATGCGCAGATTGTTAAAAATAGTAATAAAAATGGACTCAAGATGGTTATATTCATGCCTAATATTCATTGCTTCATTTCTTTTCCGCCTGAAAACTGCAATAACCCATGCAATCCACTGGCTTGGTTGTAAAAGTGCCGGCAAATGAGAATAGTTAAAATCTTGTAAGCATTGTGGAAGTCCCAGTAAAAAGTGACAATTGAGCCGAGATGTTGTGTGACCTAAAGAGCTATCAAGTAGGCACAGGAAGCGTTGACGGAGTAGACATTTATGTACCGGAATTTTGATTTGACTCAAACATAACTTGAGTATATGGGGAATGTAGCATTAAATGATGACGCTACCTCTCAATTAACAACGAAACTGATGCCGATTGCTTTTGTCTGAAAAAATTTGAAAACTGGATGTTGACTAATCATATGTGATGTTCATGTTGCCCGATTTAAGTAAGCTTGAGGAATTCGTACTAATTTGATCACGTTTGTATATAAGCGAAATGCTAGCCAGCTTTGCGTCTGTTAGTGAAAAACCCAAATCTGCAGTTTGTATTAGCCATTCTCAAGTCAGCTCCCAATGTGTTCTGCTCGTCGTTTATAGAGGCCTCTGTTCATTTCTAATCATAATCCTTTTCTCAGTACCATACAGTCCACCTTCTGCTTGTGGAATTATAAAGTAACCACCAGCATTCCTACGCATGCCCCTTTCCCCCCCACAACACATTCAACTCAGTTTAAATCGCCCAATGAAGAGTCGATGTGTTCAATTACAGCGGTGCATAGCGGCGTTTCAAATTACCCACCTCGAATGACAGATGTGACAAATGAGAATTAGCGTAACCTCATCATCTGCTCAGATAGTGATGCCCAACAATGGTTAATCATTCAATGCCACCTCCACTTGTTGTTGTGCGCCCAATGCTGTCGATAGTGGAGGCTGGGAGGTTCAACATAGTGCAATGCTCCATACTGTCAAATAGTGCAAAAAAAGGAAGTATCCGAAGCACTAAGCTGCAGAAAGGAGCTGTCTTAAACTAGACTGCATATAATCTCGACGGAAAATCGGGCACTAGAAGATGTGCGTCATTGTTGAACCTCCTCCTTATAAAGATTTACTGCTGGGGCCTTAACAGGGAGCGTGTTTTATTACGAAGGAGAAGATGGTTGCATCCAGCAAGAATTACATTGTTCAGTAATCAAAACACCCAAGAGCATGCATATCTGGTCAAGAATAGTTGCCAAGAGAGGTAAAACCGTGCACGACATACTTGCATCATTGTGTCACCCGTGCTACGCATTATGAATGTGTTTTTGTGATGAGCCTACCATCATGCTAGAACACAAATGAGCAGATTCGCAACGCACTGTCCTATGTACGGCAGTCCTTATAAATAGCAGGTAATCAGGCACCCACGGTGGTTGGAGACACGCCTTTTATTCATTGTTGCGTGCCTTTTGGACCGTCAACTTGAATAGCTTTTGCTTATCATTGACTAGATTACAGAAATGATGAACCAGGAAAATCGTTGAATTCTACTTAAGGAATACTACTTATCTTTCAAGAAGGGCTAAATGTAGTGCAGAGGTCTTGGTAAAAACTGTAAAATGAGCAGAGATTTTGTGTGAGATAGGACCTGTGAAGTAAGCACAGATTGGAGTGACGGAGCAAACACTTCTCTACCAATATTGGAAACGGTGACTCAAATATAATTTTGACTACCTGAATAATATAGCAAAAGTTAATTTGCGAATCCCATTTGATCAAACAAGGCGTCATGAACCAATTCAGGCCCACCCCAAACTTGTCAGATACTCCGGTCAAGCAGTGATTTTGAGTGGCCTATCATGCGTTGTTTCTGCTATAGTAGAGACAGGCATTAATCCAGCTGCATTCACTTCCGTACAGTTGTCTTCTGCACAAAGCCCAACTTGGCCCACTGTAACCATCAACGGCTCAAATCAACAAAGCCGCTTTCTAGGTACTCCTTCATTTCAAAGTCAATCGTGGAACATTAGATTTGGGGAGAGTGTTACTTGATGAGGCATATGGACGTGGAATATAGTGTCGGTGTCTTCTGGGAAGACATTAATTTCTTTCATGGGATAAGCATGTAAACAACTGTAAATTTGGCGTAGCAAAACTCAGTGAGAATTCTGATGTTGTAATTTGGTGCTACCCAGGATCTACACGATCACACTTTCAGGGAGAGACTAAAGCCCATATGGCAGCACCTCGGTGATCGGTCATCACTTTGCATAAACGTACGTGGTATAAATACAAATGCTTAAAATGGATTATGGTAGCATAGGCTGGCACAAGTTTACATGGCTTACGATGTATGGCACACAATGGAATCGTAAATAGTGAGTTCAAGCATTTTAAGGTGTATTTTCACTAAATAATAGCTTAATTGTCCGGTGCTTATATCAGTCAATCTGCTGCATTCAATTGCTCTCAACCACTGTTGCAATTAGGACGGTTTCGAAGGTCATACCGTGCACCATCCCATTTGAGACCTGTCGAGCCGAATCCAATCACCCAATTCTAACGATACAACTTGCACAAACTTCCTTAATAGTACCTCAGGCCGTATGATCTAGTGTGAGCTAGATGTCGATGGACAAGATTAGCAGTTTAGATGCGACTGCCAGGAGCGCCTTATGCACAGTCACTCATGCCTTCCCAGCAGGTTTTAGGCTTGCTGCTGCTGTTAACCCTATGACTTTAACTTCTTCCATTATAATATATTAAGGTTGGCCAATTCGCATATTGAGAGGAAAAGGGTTGTTCACCTGGGCAAATTTCATTGGTGTAGTCCATTTCCAATTTGTTACCGCGTACTTCACAATGGTTAGCAATTAATCTCCTCGAAGCAAAACCAAGTATACACTGCCAGTAGCAAATCGAAAGTTAGGCCAAGGTTAGCAATAAGAGTGGAAAATAAATGCAGCGTCGTTTACTAACTAGGTACAGAAATAAATAAACCAGTCCTGATTTTGACCTTCATAACCATGATGCCTTCTCAAGCAGAACTGGTAGAAATAAGCAAAATTCACTTGAACGGTGACCACAGGAGACGCGCTACGAAAGGTTGGTTGTGTGCACACATATCTTCGATGATAATGTAAAGGTCCCTTCTAGTTTCCATGACTGTGAACTGCATTTGTGAATCGTTAGAGCATCAGGTTTTGCGTGGATGTCCTTTGAGTAAACTCACGTTAAATATCCCCTCAGATGGTATCGTTAATTCAGTTGGTGGACAACGAAGTTGATGCATAAACTAGCGCTCGCCTCACACGCATTTTCCGTTTCCCTCTAGACCAATGGCGGATGACAATTCTGACACGAAATATCCTGCTACAGCTTCAAGTCCTACCGATCCTCAACTCGTGCTCTTTCAGCAACAATACCTCCGTCTACTACTGCACGCTTATTGCTGTCACCAGGGCCAGATGCTTTCCATGCATTGCACTACCCAAAATTGCGACAAAGCCTGGCATTTACTTGAGCACATAGAGAAATGCGAAAGAGGAGTAGACTGTGACACACCTTATTGTACCATTTCTAAGGACCTTATTTCGCACTGGCGAATGTGCACTGATGAAAAGTGTGTTGTGTGTGCACCCGTGACATTCATTCCAAGTCAGCAATCTAGTCAGCCTCATTCCAACATCATTTCTCAGTCCAGTGAATGTGGTTGTCTCGTTACTGATCAGGCGAATGCAAATCTAGAGTCCAATGTTCTTCACTCAGCAATCTGCAATATATCTACACATCTATCCGCGGTCGTTGAAGCCTACTCCCAGTCTGTTAGTGATGAAGAATTTGCAAAATGCTCTGCGCAATACCGAGGTGATAATCTTGAGGAAATGGATTGGCGGGCTGAATTCGATGTAGAGTCCCGAGGTCTTTTCTTCCAACTGATGTAAGAGGATAGGTATCATTAATAACCCATGAGTTGTAGAGCCGATTTCCTTCTTCCTCATCTGGATGCTTCATTCTTCAACCACGAGCCGGTGATTGACAGTGTTGCGTTCCTCACTTGGCTTGAGAACAGTATTTTCACTACAGCTCCAAGTAGAGAAGCGTACTTCAACATGCTTTTCAGCTTATGCAATGAGCTAAGCAGGGATTATGGCAAATACTACCAGGTCTGATGTTCAGTATCAACTCTGCTCTGACGAGATTTGTTGAATCTTCATCTGTGTCTACCGAGTCTTCCATGCCTAGATGTACACACTAGAGTCGTTGATTTTGCAAACGCTTTCGATTGTGCTCCCAAAATTCGATTCAATTTTACATGATAATATACCCATTTGCTAGCTTTGTGGTTTTCCTCTTCGGGGCTGTTTCGACCACACTTAAATATTCTAAATGAAATGACGCATACTGGTTAATGATGAGCATGATTGGGACCTATGGCATCTGCGTTGGCTGTGCTTTATGGAAAGGGATGATTTGATTTTACCTTATTTTTGCTTTTGAACGAGTTCGTAGTCATCCACTCACGGAGGATTTTACGTGTTCAATGAAGGTCCTTCAGACGTGACATCGCCTATGCTCGCATCTTTGTACGGACATCCGCTTACTGACACCATCCTCGGATGCATTTCAAATGCTATAAACATCTCGTCCAATGTGAACTTGGCATTTCGTAGGGAAACCAACTACGCCTCTTTACTAAGGAGAAATCCCCACTGTAAGGACTTGAGGCTACCTCAGAAATCAACAATCATCAAATCATCATTGGTTTCTTCTGCATATCTTGAAAAGCAATAAATTGCAGTTAGGGTAGATGGAAAACCGACTAAGGTCGGGATGGAGGTCGTTGCTGATGACAAGAAATGCCCAAGGCCTCAATTAGCTACCCCTATATTCCCACTGTTACCGTCGGCAGCTCATTTCATTAAAGCAGCTCCTGAGTGCATCCTTCATTTCAAAATCACTTACGGAAGATTAGATTTGAGGGCTAATTCCACCACAACCGCATTTCCTACATGAACTGACACCTACGGGTCAGCGATAGCTACAAACGAGATTCAAAGCATCCTTGTCAGCTATATTTTGCGGGATATCTACTAAATGGCTTATTTGCACCCGCTCGTAAGAAGTGGAGGACGTGATTTTACCTGAATATCTTTTCAAACGAAATCGCACTAGATCATACGGCCTGAGGTACTATTAAGGAAGTTTGTGCAAGTTGTATCGTTGGAATTGGGTGATTGGATTCGGCTCGACAGGTCTCAAATGGGATGGTGCACGGTATG